ACTACTACTACTGCTACTACTAGTAGCAGCAGCAGCAGGCAGCAGCAGAGGTAGAAGTACTAGTAGAAGCAGCAGCAGATGAATGGCGGGAATTCCATGCTTCAGAGTACTGCTGCCGCTAGGCTGGTTCAGCCTTTTGGCATATCCAGCCCCGTGAGGATGCAAAGGTACCACTCTGCAGAAACCCAGGGCGGCGCAAAGCATATTCTTTGGCCACCACCTGGCTTATGCAGCTATATCAGTCAATGTTTCAGAAAGATGTCAGTCCAATCGCTAAACGTTGGCAAGTTGTAACTGGAAGCACTGGCTGTCACGCTGGTATGCGCTTAGTTTGCGCCTATGAGTCGCATTTCAGGGCCCGTGCTCGCCTTTGAATTACCCAGAGATGACGGAGAGCCTATGCTCTCCTGCTCCTATCCGCTCGTCCTGCTTTTGGAACCAAAAATGCTCCGGATGGTAGAGGCCGATAGAGACGATTTAACGAGTCGAAGACCCGAAACAGGGAGACTGCAGCACTGGTTCGCATTCACTCTTTGTAGCTACAGGATTCAGAACTCAGACCTTCACAGCAGGGTAGCAATAGAGAGCAGTAGCAGCAGGAGGGAGAACAGGAGCACACTTCTGCACAGCTATCGCATCGCAAGAAGTGCCAAACATGGCAACATCATACAGTATGCCGTGTTGTTAACCATGGTTTCGGATGCCGCAGCAGTCAAGCTTCCTGCGTGATTTTCACACGTTTAAGCAAGCATTCTGACATGCCAGCACTCTTCCCCACGAAATCTTGCGATCAGATGTGTATCAAGGTGTTTTACAAGTCTGCTGAAGTTTCATTCCGGGGCGGATGTTGTGGACCTCATATCTGCCTTACAGCTTCTAGGACCAGCTCCTTTCGGAAGCCTGCTATCGCAGGATGCGGCCGGGCGCACATTGTCAGGGCAGGCGCCAGCATGATCTACCTATAGTCTCCATTGTAGTTCCTTTTTGGGGTTACCTTTTAGGATCCTTAATATAGAATTGGTTAAACCAGAAAAAGGAACTACAATGGAGACTACAGGTATGAGCTCAAGACTTCCATGCTGCATGGGATTAGCCCATGTCTTGTTCATAGGCATTGAGTCCCGAATTGACGTTTAGGACGCCAAGTCATGTAGGAACCTGATTCAGAAACCCTGGCCCTATAACCCCAATCTATTAGGGCTCAGATTAAGAACCCTAATAAAGAGCCAGGGCTTCTTAATCAGGTTCCTACATTACATGATCCTTCACAAACTTCCTGCGATGGCTGGAATGACTGAATACGGTGGTAGTCATGAGTCATGAGTATGCTTAGCGAGTTCATCATCTTCGTGACCGGAGCTTGGAGCAATGAGATGGTGAGAACCCACCCAGAGACTCCAAAACCCCTTAATGAAGGAATCTACCTTAAACTATAATAGGATCCCGAATATAATTTAAGGTATATTCCTTAATTAAGTGCTTTTGGAGTCTCTGGGCAAGAAGTGACAACCGACCCCCGCTCGGCTGCTTAAGCAGCAGTCCAATCACCCAACCCCAGAATGCCGCGGAGCATCCAGGACCTATCAACCAGCTGCTTTCACGACTTCTGGAACGATTAGAAGTCATGCCGTGCATACTATGTTATACCTATCTTTTATCTAGTATAGAGTATAGAGAGGACAGCAATCAGATTACACTCGCACCTCAAAGCCGTTTGGGCTCAGAGCTTTGCGAGCGCGTCGAGGCGGTCCGGAGCCAATGACAGCCTTATTCAGGCAAGGGGCCGGAGTTGAATTTCCATAGCTGGGATTACCCATAGGCCCTAAAGTAGTTCCTTTTTCGGGGGTTCATATATAGAAGCCTATAAGGAAAATCCCTAAAAGGAACTACTATGGGCCTATGGGTAGGGTCATGTAGGAACCTGATGAAGAAACCCTGGCCCTGTAAGCCCAAAATATTAGGATCCGCAGAGACCTAATAAGGACCTAGGGTTTTGTAATCAGGCTCCCATACTCGTAGGATCGCGCAAGTTGCGAGGTGTTGGACTCATGGTCGGCAGGGTGGCGATTCAGGACGTATGTAGTAAGTGATGGTGTTGGTGCATAGGTGTGCATACACACACACACACACCTTTATCTCCCCGCATACCGGTTGAACAAAACACAATATAGTGTATGTGTGCATGTCTCCATATATACATATATACACATGTATATACGTGCACACATGCATGCACACATGCATACAGGCATACCTACATACATACAGGTATGTGTATATAATCTATATATATATATATACAATATATTCTTTCGAACTGACATTTATATATGTGCACATAAGTATAAGTATGTAAGTATAGATGTGCTCATGTTTATTTATATCCTGTGTTTTGCCGCTGACCGCCCTAAATGCGAAGGTTAGCGGCACTTTGGGCCTTTGTGGTGACCTTGTGCGCCGCAGAGGAAGGTGCCGCCTTTGGCCGTTTTGGCTTTTCGATGTCGGTGTATGAGGCTATTACCATTACTACCATGATTACTAAAATTATTACGATAAATCATTGATTGTGTAAAGTCTTATTACGAATACTACCGTATGTTGCGATTTGATGGTAGTCTGTTTGGCTATGCTATCCACGATGTTGCCTTCCCGCGACACCCCGTTGTTCGGGATCTTTCCAGAGGCCATATCTTTGCTGATGAGCCACTGTCTATATGCCGGAACTAATTGCGCGGCTTCTCGGATTCCTGACAGACTGCCCAAGCTGGAGCGAGACATACCGCCAAGAGCCCTGTTTCTACAACTCAACTGCATGATTCAGCTTTGCTCGGGGTTCAGGTTTTGCTCTGCCTCCAAGAGAGCACTTCGGCCACGACGGAAGCAGAAACCAGTCACTAAGTCACCAACGTGCGTGTTGGTGCACATCTTCTCCTGTGCAGGCGAGGATGTCAAGGGACCGATGATAACCAACAAGGTGGGGCGGCAGATGACGGGATCGCGATTTTCGGAGTTGCAGGAGTTGTGGTAGATCCCGAAGATCTATGAGCTGTGACGAGGTTTACTTCGATGTGACCATTGGCGGCAAGAAGACCGGCCGCATCGTCATAGGCCTGTACGGCAAGAAGGCAGCAGAGTCTGCAGGGTGTCGTGGCAGGATGCAGCTGTCTTGAAATAGCTCTTGAAAGTTGCTGCAGGTCCCCAAAACCGTGGAGAACTTCCGTCTCATCCTCAGCACATCCTGGACCTGACCTTCACTTGGAAGCGCTGTCTATGAGACATCACACACCTGTAAGTGCATCACATATGTGTGTAACATCCCCTATGATACCCTGATAGAACCCTAGATAGAACCCTTATGGTACCCTGATAGAACCCTTATGGTACCCGAACAGAACCCTTATGGTACCCTATCGGAACTGTTGAGCAAGGCCAGCGGCAAATTTTGCCACCCAAGACCCAAAGCCCAACACCCAAAACCCAACACCCTAAACCCTAAACCCACAACCTTAAACTCTAAACCCGAAGCCCTAAACCTAAAGCCCTAAACCCAAAGCGCCAAAGCTCCAAAACCCAAAACCCTAAACGCAAAGCCCCAAAACCCAAAACCCTAAACGCTCAATGTGGTTCTTGCTTGGAGTGGTCGGACCCCTGGGCGGCCGAGTACCCTTGAGCCCCAGATCGCGAAGCCTATGACTACTATATCAAACAGTACATGTGTATATATATATATATATATACATACATATACATACATACATATATAAATATAAATATATATATATAACGCAAATTTTATATGTTATATATTATATGTCATTTCATGTGTAAATAATAGATGTTATATATTATATGTTAGATATTATATGATATATATATATATATAGAGAGAGAGAGAGAGATAATATTATGTGATATATGAAACGGATGAGGTCCTGAACCCCAGAGCCCTACGCCGCCATGTCTCAACTCAAGCCCCGAGCTCTGAAATCACGAGAAACCGAGGTGCCCTTTGCACGGGCGAGAAGGGTTTCGGCTACAAGGGCTCGAAATTCCACAGGGTCATCAAGGACTTTGGGCTTCCGGGCATCGGGAGACCGGGGGTGTTTAGAGGTGTTGAGGGATGGAGAAGTCTGGGACATGTTTATGGGATGGAAGGTTCTGGGCGCATCATCGCATTGCTTACAAAGCAGCAAGGCTCGTAAGAGAGCACTACACACAATCGTAGTGATAATGATAACCACCACCACCGTAGAGTTAGGAGCACGAGGCACTCATGTTTCGGGCGACAGCCCGCTTGTGACGGTGCGGCAGTGAGAGGCTGTCTTGTGGCCATTGGGCTTCATGTTCGAATTCTCGGGCTCAGCCTTTTTAGGGTTCTGCGGTTTTTCAAGTTCACGGTTGCTTTCCTTGCGGGAAGGAGATGGGCAAGAGTGCCGCATGTCTGCCTAAGCGAGGCTCGGTGTATACGCAGGTTCAATCCCTCAGCTCCGAGCTGATTCCGCGAAAGCTGAACTCCTGAACCCGAAGCCTCTATACACCCCAAACTTAACGCTCCGCAATGGGTGGTTCATTTTTGACATGGTGTGGTTCTACCAGCTATCGACAGCGGAGGTCTTCGGAAGCATCGAAGTGTGCTTCTTGAAAGTGCCCAGCAGTGTTCAGTCAATCTCAGAAAGTCGGTGCCTGACTTCACGGCCTTCAGGTTTTGGCCTCTCTAGTTCGCGTAATGGTCGTGTTGTGCCAGCTCGAGTGATTTCGGCAGCTGCTTCAGTCAAGCCACAGTTTTGCGAGAGTGTAGTCGGCCTTTCCGCTTTCAAAGAATGGCGCTGACAACCCCTCTGACGGAGCTCTTCAAGATCAAGCACCCTGTACTGTTGGCGGGCATGGCTACGAAGCTGCATTATTCCCATGGAGCTGAGGGCTTCGGAACTTCGGTCGCAATGCCATGCTTTAACTTGAGCCATGCTGGTAGAACCTAGCAAGCAGCAAGCTGAGGAATTCGGAGATGAGAACTAGGGCCTCTTTGATCTGCGACACCTTCACAGTTTATTCAGAATACTTCTGTCGTAGAGACACTTCTGCAAAGCACCACTCCCTGGCTCGGATACCAGAAGATGGCCCTGTTTTGTCTGCAAGCCACAGATCTGGGCAAAGAAGGAATCGACAAAGAGGAAATTCTTCAGATCCCGGGCTCGCACAGAAGTCCCTGCATGCAGATATACCATACCACAGTACAGCGCCGCCCGCTTGAAGCCAAACCTAGAGCGTAAGCCGAAATTGGCTAACACGAAACCCTTTAACCGTAAGCCCATGTTGGCGCTGTCAAGCGCAGAAGACCTGAAAGCGTAGGCCTAGGCCGCAGCAGGAGCTGTGCGAGGTTCGAAGGGGCCTACGTTTGCAGGATCAGGGACTTAGGTACTGCCTGCTCATTCTTCCTTAGGAAGTTATGTAACCTTATACCGTACCTTTTCCTATGCTCTATAACCCTAACCCCCCAGTTACTACTAAAAAGGGTACTAGAGCCCCTGGGGCCCTATGTAGTAGGTACCTGGAAGGTTAGGGGTAACTTATACCTATGCTCTATAGACCAAGTCACCCTAAACCCTAAGCCCTAAACCCCAAACCCTAAACCCTAAACCCCAAACCCTAAACCCTAAACCCTAAACCCTAAACCTGTAAGCTAAGTCACCTGCGCCTTCACTCTCACGTTCAGGCCGGTGCTGCCGGGCCAGAGCTGGCCGCTGCCGTCACAAACGCGGGAGGCATGCGCTCCGGTCATGGCCGGTTTAGGGTTTAGGAAGTACAAGGTTTGGGGTTTAGGAAGTATAAGGTTTAGGGTTTAGGAAGTATAAGGTTTAGGGCTTAGGAAGTGTAAGGTTTAGGGATTAGGAAGTATAAGGTTTAGGGATTAGGAAGTATACGGCTTAGGGATTAGGAAGTATAAGGTTTA